GTTCCTCCCATCATGATCCATGAAAACACCTGCATTACTTGGCTTTTATATCTCAGAGGCTTTTAATAATCAAGAGTCTCCTACTGGCCTATTGAAAAGCCAGTTCCCTAGAAATGCCATTTAGGAAAGAATCCAGGATATCCACTCTAAGTTTAAGGAGCCCAAAGGAGCATTTTGCAGTTGTGGGAGGGAGGAGAACACTGAGCTTTGCATATGTACATCTGGCCCTTGTCTTTAAGGCATTGAGGCTTCCTATGTTACTACTGGAAGGTTCTGGAAAAGGATGGAGTGGCATCTTGGAGAGAACTGTGAGAGGTAGAGGGGGAATACACCTGAATTATAATCTGGGCTCTGCCATAGGCTTCTTGAGACATGTGCTCAAATTCTTCTCTGGGCCTCATCTGTAAAATAAAGGATTAGAGCCCTAAAGGTTCTGTCTGGCTTTCAAGACAAGAGAGGAAAGAGGAACCTGGAATGAGCTGGTGACCTCATCAGCCATGATTGGCTCACTCTGAAATCCCCAGTCAGCAGCTAAAAATAGATTGTTCTACGGGGAGGTTTGAAGATGGATACAGGTCCTGGAGAGGAAGACCCTGGTGAAGTATCCCCCAGATTATCAGGTCCCTCCTATTCCCAGACTTGACTGAGGTGGGTCATAGGCTCTATAGTAACTAAAGCAGCCTGCTATGAGGTACCCTTGTGGCCTTTGACACCATGCTTGGGCTTTGCTAGGTAAGTTTCCTTGGACAGAATTCAGTTGCTTCCATATGAATATATACCAAATTCTAAGTCTGCAGAGTATGAGACCTGGACTCAGGAGACTCAAGTTCTGGTCCAACTAAGTGATCATAACCAAGGATCTTGGGGCTAGAATGAGTGGGGATAAGGTACGTATTTTCTTCAAAGCCAGTTCCAGACAAACCATCCTTCTCCAAGCCAGAACCATCTCTCCCTAGAAGATCAACAAAGTTTCAGGAAAAATCTTGGGAACTAAAGCTACCTCATGAAGAGGAGAGAAATGGAACCAATTTTCCTACTTCACCAAACACACATCCTTAAAACTCGATTTCTCCACCTGGGTGATGACCTTGAAATTTACCAGACCTCTTCTTCTAGCCCAGAGTGGAATGACTTCTTTCTTCTCTCTGAGTATTTTCTGAGTACCTACTAGGTACCAACCTCTGTGTTAAGTAGAGTGAATCAGAGATACCTAAGACACATGGCTGACCTTGAAGAATTCTGCCGAACAGGAAGGATACGGATGATTAATAGCTATGATGCAACGGAAAGAACTCCCCACCCTCAACTAGAACCTGCTCTTCCAGGGTGGGGTCTCATCAGACCAGATCTCAAGGGATGGAAGAACAGGAGACCAAGTTGCTCTGAGGACTGCCACCTACCCACCAGCAATACTGCTCCCAGGAAGACAGACATGTGACCTCTCTAACTTTCTGTCAAGTGTCTTGTTCATGGTGGTAGAGGATGCTAAGCAATAGCATCGTAAACGTTTATCATCAAGCCTCTATCATGCATAAAGCAAGGAAATACAAAAGAATGGTGGAAAAAAGCCTTGACTTACAGTTCCTACTATCCCAAAGCTAGACATTTTGGTGATGAGCCCTAAAATTCAGAGACCTGTCAAAACAGCATTGACTTAGGATTTGGACCCCTGGACTTTCCTATGTGGCCTTGACCAAGGCATATCCTAAATGCTCCAGTTTTCTTTATCCTTTAAATGGGGCAAAGGCAAAGCATGCCTTGAAATTATAGAAGTGGTGATGGTGAGTACCAATGTGCTTGCTCATTTTTCCCTTAATGTCTGAGCTCTCTTTACTTTCAGGGGCCTGAAGATCTGAACATTTGTGGGAAGGTAGGAAGAGCTAGGACTGGGTAGGGAGCTGAACAATAGGAGGAGTTGGAGGAATGATGTGTTAATGGGACAAAGTGGGATGAGAGACAGATGGAGAGGGGGATAGAAAAGGAAGCTATCAGAAAGGCCACTGCCCCGTGGGAGCTAGAAGTAAGGACTTTTGCTGGTGCCACTGAATACCCCAAGAGAGAGAAAGGCTATTTAAACTACCAAAATGGTGATTAGTCATGGCTGCTCAAGTTGGATCACTACAGAGCTGTCAGAGGGATTTGGTCCCAGGGACCTTTGGGCTATGAACAGACGAAACAAGTAGGAACAGGAAAGAGTCCAGCTAACAATAAAGCCAGATCCAGATGTGGCCATGTACAAAAAGCCGGGGGCAGAAAACACAGCATGGCCTAGCCCCTGCGGCCTGAGGCTACATTGTTTCCCAGGCATCTGATGTGGCGCCTGGATCCAGCAGTCTACACACTTCAAGCTCTGTCATGCATCCCTGGCCAGGCAGTTGCTGGGAGTACTGATGCATGGCACACAGAGAAAGAAGGCCTGCTGATTAAATTACCAAATCCCATTAGAAAACAGGGCAACTCACTCCTAATAGAATTTTTGTGTTTCTCATGATCTTTGATGACTCTGGTGGGATTTCAAAATCTCCAGTGTGGTGCCAGGCCTAGATTTCTTTCAAATAGTTCAGTCTCCTTCACCAACAGAACCCTCAAACACAGCTGTGTCCCCTGGGAGGGAATTGTGCTCACTCAGTATAACAGAGGCTTTCTAATTTGTTTAAGAGCCACTGTGTGCTGTGTGGGGGGTAGTGAGAAATGTTTCTTTAAGGCTGAACAAGTGTGTGTGTGCATGAGGGAGTGTTCTCCGAAACTATCATAGTTGAGAGGGTCTGTCTGCCGCAGGGTTTTTTTTGTAGACATTCTACTCCTCCCTCCTTCCCCCTCAACATATACAACACATTTCAGAACCGAATGTGGGATGTTTGTGCTGAAAGAGGTTAACAAATGCCTGCTCCAGGGACTCAGCTACCATCCCTGCAGTAAGCCCTCCTGCATCCGGAAGTCACAGGAAGTCACTGTGTTTCAAGCTGTCAATGCTGCATTGTTGGACACGGGGCATGACAGGCTGCAAAAGAATGTGTGGAGTTACACTCTCCCTGCATTTAAAATATCACACGCCTCACCTTGCAAGAGGGAAGGAATCAATTCGACGAGTAAACTAGACTTAGGTGTTTTCTGGATGTATATTTGATCAACTGCCTGGCTTGGCTTTTGTCTTACTCCTGTACCCCCAAAGGGACCAGGACCACATGTTGTTTTGGGTTTTTGTTTTTTTTTAAGCATCTCCCCTTACTCTGGTGACATCATCACTGGAAAACAGAGATGTAACAAGAGGTGAATCATTTATCACCTTCACATCTCTTCTAGAATTATATCAGCCAAGAGCCCTGGGGTGTGTAGGAGACAAAAGCCAAAAAGCAAAGGGATTGGGGAGTGAGTAGAGGAAGGGCCGGAAAGGCCGGAGAGGAAAGCAACTGGTTCCTTTGCAGTCTGCTTTTCTTCTTCCTCCTCAAATCACCAACCTCCTTGCTATTCATTAATCATATAAGAGGTTAAAAAAAAAAAGTCAAACTTTAGTTACCTTATATTTATGGATGGAATTGGCTTAAATGCCATTGCCTGAGCTTTTGGATCAATCCCCATATTCACATCTGTCATTAATGAAAACCAACCTTGGTTCATTTTCCCTGGACACCCCCACCCCCCAGTGGTAGTCCTTTCACTTCACTGTTTCATGCTTTCATCAGTTTTGATCAGCAGAGGAAGTGGACAATGTGGAAATAATTAGAAAGTGAAATCTGCTGAGCCGAACAATGGCCCACAAAGCTATCTGCTGCTCAGGTGGGGATGTTGACCAGGAAGGCCACAGCAGGGTGGGGTTTGACTTTCCTGGCCCCTACCTGGGCATTTTTAAATGTCATTCAATGACCTATCTCGAAAATATTCTTGGAGGGGTGTGAGGACTCTACCAAATCAAAACAGAAGATTGAAAGACCTGGCCCAGGCTTGCAGAAGACATTAAATATTTAAAAAATATTTCCCACCCACACCTCCTTTGCTTTCCTTTTAAACGACAGTCTTATTCCTGAAGCACTCCCATTAGTTAGGAAGAAAATTTCCCCCTTCCTTCCTCTCTGGTTCCAGTGAATTCCAGACTCCTTAGGATTCTTGAGTCTAGCTGTTCAAAACATATTTACCAAAAAAACAAAGCGAAGTGGCCTCAGGACACCAGGGAAGGCCAAAAGTGAGATCCATTTCTGCAACACAGGAAAAGAGACCCAAAAGGGCAAAGGGAAAAAAATAATTTGCAGAAGGCACAGTTTTGGCAACATCTTGTTTCAACTTCCAGCTGATTGGGTGTAGCCCAACTAGAGACATCTGGTTGGAGTTTACAGCAGAAACAAACACAGAGAAAGCATGAACACCCTCTAACACACACACCGAGCTCTGGCAGCCACTTTGCCTTGCCCTTCACACTGTTCCCACTAGGCCAGACTGCGTTATGGAAGGGAAGGAAACAAACTGTGCTAGCTGCCTTCCCACACCCGACCTGTACCATGACTCACTCAAGAGTGATTGGAGCTTACAACTTTTCTTCTTGCCTTTCCTCCCAGAAAAGAAAGAAAAAGGGCCCCACTCTACAGAGTCCCATAGGGACTCCCTTTAGGGTGCTAATTCATTTCTAAAGCACTTTGGCTGATTCCAAGGAAAAAAATTTGCAGTGTACTAGTACTTGATCATTAGGGCGACCCACAGGAAGTAGTAAAAACTAGAACATGGCAAAAGTCATTCTCTAAATAACTAAATAAGTATAAAGAGTGTGGGCAATTAATTTCACTCTGACCTCTCCAAAAATTAACTTAAAAAGGACCAAAGAACATCCACCCATACATAAGAATATGCAGGAGAAGGCTGGCCCCAGACATAGACCCAGAGCTGTCCAATCCAGAAAAGCCTAGAGAGTGGACTCGCCTTCTCCAACCCTCTCCAGCCCTCTCCAGCCCCTGCAGGACACCCTAGAGTTGAAGGTACACCCCACCAAACCACCTCCATCACCAGGCACCTTCGGCAGCATTTCCTCTTTATTCTCTCCCCACTAGTTTGCAAACAGAACCAGAACAATGCTACTCAAAAAATAACAAAATGTTTTATACACATTTCTGTATATACAACTGAACAACATTTTACAGGTTTCTTTTGCACAGCAAAAGATATATAAACATTCAGCTGAGAACACAGTTATGTACAAAAAAAAAAGATGTCAAAAATACTTCACAACAGTGCAAAAATATTTTACAGAGCATCATGGAGTAGGATCTTTGGGACAAAAGGAAGGTGTGTGTTTCTAAAGGAAAACTCCTTTTGTAGATATTAGATGTCTTTTACTGTAAACAAAATGCAACTTTCATACTTGCCCCCCTGAAATAAAAGTTATCTGAGAAATTTGGCAGAATTTCAAGAGTCTGATTCTGAGGTAAACAGCCCAAGCTCTCATACTAAAAAGAACCGGGGGCAGGAAGGTGGCATTAAAGTCTCCATCATTGTCAGAGCGACTTTGTTAATGACATCAATGACATTGAGAGGCCTCCCAGTCAGGGGGTCTGGAGAGGAAGCTAGCCCCTCCTTCCCAGGCCTCAGCAGCCTCACAAACAGGAAACTGGCCTTGCAGGCACCTCCAGCCGCCCTTAGACTTTTCCAACTTCAGGCAGCCTTCCTTCACCCACACCCCTGTGGGGCTGCCTCTCTTTCCTTTGGAGGGCTTTCTCTCCTCCCACATCTCCCCACACAACCTGAGCCACCTCAAACAGCCAAAAGTGCTGGGGTCGGGGTGGAAGGGAAGCAGTCACTGGGAACCCAAGACCAGACCTGGGCCCCAAACTCAGGTCTGGACCTCAAGTGCACCATTTCCCTGGGGACTAGGAGGAGAAAGAGGTTGCTGTGGTTGGGGAGCCGCTTTGGGGGTTCCGGGTGCATGGAGGAGTCTTCTGGGCGCTCAGCCGGAGTAGGGCTCATCTAGGCTGGCGCTGTCAGCAGGACCGGACCGGTCCCCAGAGGTGGCATCCAGGCCTCCTCCCTCGATGGAGCTCTCACTGCCGGTGCTCTCTCCCGACAGCAGGCGAGTCACGCGCAAGTCCGCTTGCAGGGTGTGCACGTCATTGCCAAAGCTGAGGTCGCCTAGGTCGCTAATAAGCTGCGACAGCTGGGCGGTCATGTCAGAGGCACAGGCTGGCAGCGGAGGTGTCTCCGCTCTGGGACCCAGCGAGACCCCGCCGCCCCCCAGCGCCTCCTCGTGGCCATTCTCCAACGTGTCCAGCAAGTCCCCACATTCCAAGTGCATGGCCGCCACCAGCACCCTTTGCGCCTCGGCCTCCTCCACCGCTGGCTCCCCATCCCGCACACAGTCCTCTTCCTCCTCTTCCAGGCAGCCCTCGAGGTGCTCCTCTTCCTCCTCCTCCTGCAGCTCCTGCTCCTGTTGTTCTCCAAGCAGGTCCTCGGTGATGGAACCAAGCTTGGGAGCGCTGCGGCTGCGCTCCACCGGCGGCTTGTAGCAGCAAGGTCCGTGCAGGAGCAGCTTGCGCAGTGGCACTAGAGGGATGGTGTCTGCACCCACCAGCTCCTGCTGCTGGTGGCGCGCATCGTCCCGCCGCTTGAGGCGTTTAAATTCTGCCAGAGCGTTGGCTGACGTCTGGTAGAGCAGCAGGGCCATGGCCTGAGCTTTCTCTGGCTTGGACACCAGCACTGCGTGGCAGCGCAGCATTACCGCCTTGTGCTTCAGCTCGTGCCGGTATACCCAGGCGAAGACCTTGGGGAGCCGCGCGTCTGCCACGCAGTAAGTGACGCGGTGTAGCAGGTAGAGGTGGCCCGGGCGGCGCAGGGCGCGCTCCTCGGCGTGCACCATGCGGATACCCTGAGCACTCACGGTCAGCTTCATCTTGGTGCCCTGACGGCCAGCCTCGCTCTTGCTCCAGATCTTGCCCACGGCTAGGTCAGTGCAACCGTCGCCGCGCGCCTGGATGGTGGTGGCATTACCCAGGTAGAGCACGGTGTAAGTAGGGTCCTCGCTGGTAATGTGCAGCTTCTTGCGCTTGGAGCGGAACATGCTGCCCACCCGGCTGAGCGCGCCTTCAGGGCAGGCCCTGGCCAAAGAGCTGAGCGCCGAGTAGTGCAGGCTCACAGCGTAGCCTTTGGGCTTGGACGCCTGTCGCGGCGGCGCCTCGGCCAGCAGCTCGAACTTGTGCTTCTTCCACGGCAGCATCTCCGGAGGACGCCCCGGCACAGCTGGGCGGCGGCCGGCCGAGCGCGAGGTGCGAGCCCAGCGGAGCCACCAGCCGGGGCTGCACTTGGCCGGGGCAAGACCGGAAAATAACACTCTTGCAAGGGAACAGCCAGACAGGCAGAGGAACAGCCAGACAGGCAGAGGGAGGCGGGAGAGGACAGATAGTGCTGGGGAACCCAGCTGGGGGTGGGGTAGAATCTTTGAAAGAAAATATTCAGCTTCTAGTGTACAAAAGGGGAGAGGAGTGTGCACACACACACACACCCACACACAGGTTCCCAAGCCTGGACAGGGACCAGGGCAAAAGCCTCAGTCTAGCAACAAAATAATCAAGGAGGAAAGGGGGGTGGAGCGGAAAATGTCTTAGAAAAAAAGCCAGATGAACGGGTGTAAATAAAAGGGGAGTGGGGAGAGCAAAAGTACTCGGGATGGTACAAGAATCTGCAGGAACTCTTCGGCGAACGTGATACACACCAGTCCTGGGTCAGGGCCAGGCGCCGCGGAGACTCTAGTGGTGTAGCCGGGAGTGGGGGTTGCTCCCCACCAATGGGCGCTGGAGACGGCGAGCCCCTCGGCTGGGCTGGTCCCCGACTCAGCAGCTTGCCTCGAGTGCGGCGATGGGTCCGGCTGGCCGCGGCCGCCCAGCGCAGTTCCGCGGTGCTCACTGCATCCTAGCTGGTGCTGGACGCCGGGGACTCGCTCTCGGCCGGCTCACTGTCTGCACTGGCTCGGCCAGGGTAGCGCAGGGCTCCGAGGGCCGGGTGCGCGCATGGTCAGCTCGGTGCTGGACGCCGGGGACTCGCTCTCGGCCGGCTCACTGTCTGCACTGGCTTGGCCAGGGTAGCGCAGGGCTCCGAGGGCCGGGTGCGCGCATGGTCAGCTCAGGGTCCGCCGCTACCTCATGCCTTCCCTCCCCGGTGTCCAACTCTGCGCCCGGGCTCTCCGCGGTCTGCCAGCGCGCCCTCTGCGGTGCTGCGAGCGATGCCCTGCTCGGCAGCCTCACATCATTGCCGTCCGGGAGGCAGATCTCCGGGTTAATATAAGCCGGCGCAAACCATTCGCCGCGCGGGGACAGGGGAGGAGCAGAGCAGAAGATCGGTTCGGGTTACGACGCCCGACAGATTTCTGGTCTCTTAAAGGGACCTGGTTGCAGCCATTAGGAAGACGAAGACCGGTCTAATTAGGCAATTAGAGCCTCAATTTACCAGCATCTCTTATATCTATAGAAACCACAAAGACCTGGGGTTACCCTGCAGCAAAGGGAATTTGAACTCCACCCTTGACTAAATTGCAACTCACTGAATAAATGTATGTCTAGATCGAAACTTCTGGAGGAGGTGGTGGAAGATCAGCTTATAGACTATAATTTCCTGTGCAAAAAAAAAGATGGAGAAATAGTGATTTTTTTTTTTTCTTTCTGTGACAACTCCATAAGACTCTACAGGTGCTGTTTACTATTGTTAGTTCAGCAATGTATTCTACTGAGGAATACAGAGAGGCAACGACTTACTGTCTTGGAGCCAATTATCCACAGATGAACAGCTCGTAGTGAAAAGTGAATGCTAAGATGACTGAGGAACAACGCTGAACGTAATAGAGAGCAGTCGATAAATTCTGTGCTTCTATCGCCCATCTGCTCCCAAACAATACTCCTTCCTGCTGTCAGCCCGAGGAATACAGCGCTTTTCTTTGATACATACAATTTCTAAGTAAGGCTGTATTGCTGTGTGTGGTTAGACCCCAGTTTACTTTGGCAGGTTCTCAGTTTTATTTTATCATTGATGGACTTTGGATGAGAATTCCTAATAAAAAATTTAAATGATATTTTTCAAGTTTTTTTTCTTCATGGACAAATTGGACAACCCAGGGGTTTTGTCTGTTTTCCAACTTTTCTTCTGGTGTTTGCTTGTTTGTTTTGCTTTGTCTTTGAGGGAGGGTCTTGCTGTGTAGACCAGGCTAGCCACAAACTCAAAACCCTCCCGCTCCATTTTCCATTATCTCCTGTCATCATGCCTGGCTCTCTATCATTGTTTCAGTCACCCACCCACTTGCTTCTCTATCGATACTTATTTCTGGGCCCATGAAACAACCTGTCTGATTCTATGGATTAGTCAGTCAAAACCAAAAGACTTCTTTTTGATGAATGCATGTGAACAAAAAAAAAATATTTTTGCTGAGCTAGACGCTATAAGAAAGATCCAAAGCACTGTAAGAAGCTGGAAGAAGAAAAGAGTTGTTGTGACTAAGAAAATCGGAAATCATGGAGGTGCTGGCATTTGAAAGCTGACTTCTCCAAATGGGAGAGGAACTGAAAGGCTTTTTGAGAGCAGAGGACAGCAAAATTACTGAAGCATGATGATGTATGCACATGTAAAAGATACACTATGTTCGATGATTATGATAATGGAAAAAACTTCCCTGTCAGAGAAGTTTAACGATGATGGGTTGGGAGCTCTTCTTCTCTCTGAAGGAAGTAACGGCTTTTTCATGGCTACCTAGACCTGTGCAGCCCTTTAACCATGGCCCCAAAACCTTACCCACTGTGTGGATGGATTTGTGGAGAGACTGAATTAGAACTCTAAAAAACCATCAAGGCAGCATGGATTTTTCTGGAATATTGTGCAGTGTCAGTAATGACAGCATGCATTCCAAAGAACAGCAAGTCCTGGAGGAAGCATACCAAACTAGCCTATGCTGGTCTACAATCTCAAAGTCTAAATTCTGAGGTAGACCTCATATTCAAGCAGTTAACATTTCCAAGTGGCTGGGAGGTCAGAAGGCCAGAAGAGCTTGGGGGAATAATCCCCTTCCCCCCGAGGTCCCAAGTTGTTGGCAGCAATGGCTTTGCCTCTGTGTTGGGCTTATCCTGGGGACAGGGGAGGTTTCTGTCTTTTGCAGATTCTAGTCTTGGAAGGACTGATTCTCTAGAATGGACTTCCCACCCTCCTTGATGGCCAGCTGTGTTCTTGACGCCACACATGATCCTGGGCACCCAGACTTGATGTTGGACCTCTCCCATTCCCAGGTACCAAGAGCTTTTCCATCATTTTTCTATTGCCCTTCTATAGCCCCAGTGTACCTTCACCTGTGCCCTACAGAAATTGTAAAACACCAAATTGAACTTCTAGAGATAAAAATCACAGTCCAGGAAATTTTAAAAATTAAATTACTTTAATAACTAAACTGATATAACTCTCAAAGTAAATATATGTCATTGTATTTTAGAATACAAATCCACAATTCTGTATGTCTACTATAACTTTTTAGTATTGTTTATTGACAAATTGCACTAGCCCGCTTCAATAGTACTGTGAAATTTCTCACTGTTGCTGTAATGTAATTCAGTACCTTTCCAAACTCTCCAGCCTATACAAAGTTTTTCAACGTAATCACATTTTTAAAGCAATGCTCATAAAAGAAG